TATATATATATATATACATACACACATTATATACGCTATATATTATAGTATTCTTCGTTTGGCTGATTCCTTCAGGTCTTGCTCATCTACTACTACTGTACACATACCATCTCCATGTCCATCAGAAACTCACTGCAGACAACAAAGACAAAAAGACAGACTTTTTCAGCCCACTTACCGTACGGCGCAACGCTTCCTGACTCCACTGTGGTGCAGCAGAGAGCATATAAAAATATGAGATGAATGATTTCCTGTTTCAGTTGATCAATATCGACCAATGTCTGTGGAGTGGTGTATCGCTGTGTCTGTGAGTAACTGTGCACGTTCCGAAACATTTTAAAGGTGTAGAAGAAGAACAAGACCAGGCTAGGGAGTAATGAGGAGGTGTGGGTATGAACAAGGAATGATCTATGAATGCCAATGATTTCATGACAAAGTGCAGGTGAAACCAGGATTATGCTGACCTATTCCTGTCTGATGCCGCTTGTAGTTTTCTCCAAAGGCCACAAGGCCGATAGCGATGGTCTGGAGACTGGGCCGGATCGATGGCGTGAACTAGGGAAATGAATAAAAAGAGGAAAAGTAATTGCACACTGATCTAGAAGGAGATCAGCGTCTGAGCAACAAAGCCACGTCTTCCACTTTGAATGTCAACTGCTAACTCGTCCATCTCTTTGTTCACAGAACTAATGAATTCACATACAGCTATGAGTTATCACCCAAATAAATCATTTCTGTCAACATTTTCCTTTAATGGTCTTGGCCATTGTGACCAAGTGACAGCTGATATGGTATTTTTTTCAAAACCACAACTGTCTCATGTCATTTCAGTAATACAGCCGTTCATCGGACCACAACAGAAAAATGATTTTGTCGTCCACTGCTTATGAAACACCCTAAAAAACCATGAAAAAACTTAATAAATGTTTTCAATTTCTCTTAAAAGGTGCTGTTCCAATTTCACCTGGTTTGAGGAATGTGGAAACATGGGTGACTATAATAATCCTTGGCGATAGCTAGCTCCATCCAAACGACCGCTCCTCCTCCTTTACTTGCATGCAACTGCTGGACTACTACTATCATGCGCAACCCAACAACCTGCACTTTGAGCGCAGTGCCAAATGAAAAAACACTTGAGGTACTACAAGTGGGTTGTCATTAGAAACAACACGGAAGACGAGAGAATTTTGCTTACAGCCGCGTGATGTCTCATCTCGTGAATTAGTTATATCCATTATAAACGAGTATATACCGGCTAAGCTAAAGCTTAGCGACAGGTCAGAAAAACTATTTCTACCATTGATAAACAAAACAACAGCAGCCAAGGCGTTGTTGCACAGAAAGACGTAAACAAAAAACACACGTAGTAAATGAAAAGTTATCATTATAGTCATTTTGTTAAAAATTAGACTGTGTTCACTTACATTTGGAATATTAAATTAACACCCTAATTAAAACATAGCAACACAGCATTGCAAAATTGGCCTATTTGTTTTTTTTAATTCTTGGTAGAATAAAACTAATCTTACCTGAAAGCCCAGGCAGCGGCCGTAGAAACAGCCCTTGTGCATGGTTGAGTATTCACGAACAAATCTCTCGCTGAGGTCACTTTCCTCCCGCACAAACAGATTGCCGTCGCTGTTTTCCTCTACCATGCGCTGGGCCAGGTAAAGCAGGGCGCGCAGCTGACACAGCGCATTGCAGTAGGCCTCCATCTCACCTGCGTTGTGTGCCACCCTGAAAAATATTCTGCGGCGATTGGCGGCGATGTAGCGCCCCTTGTGAATGATGTGGAGCAGGCAGCAACGCAAAACCTAGAAAAGGGGGGAGGGGTTAAGAAGGCAATAAAATATTTAAAAGCAGGCAGCATCGCAAAACCTAGAAGGGGGGGGGGTTAAGAAGGCAATAAAATATTTAATGAAAAAGTTGTTTTAAAAACAATATCTCATATTACACATAATTAGCAAAACAGTGAAAGTAAAGGAAAAAGAAAAAAATATTTGTATGTTCTATAGCTTGCATTTTTCAACACTGTGTTTGACTGGATTAGTCTTGGGAAATTTGAATTCAAGTTGGCACCTGGAACTCACTGTGTTACTCAAAACTAACAGTCATTTCTCTGTATCCAGGTGTAATATTTTGCCGTGAGATGTCAACGACGTGGACGTTTCCATGTAAGGTCTGTAAAAATGCTCCAATATGCAGCATATTTTCAAGTTATATACACATGGCTGCCACTAGCCTTTCACGTATTGTAAAATACGTGATCATTGCTGTGTTGAGCGATGTGATGCTATTGGTGGTAGACAGGGGTTAGCATGGGCACCTGACCGGTTCGGAGCTATATATCAATAACTTGACCACATCAACAGTTCACTTTACGCATGCTACCTTTACGTAATAAAAATAGCATAAGGCATAATATTGACGTCCACCGTTATGCAGATGATACACAACTATTCTCATCCATGCAGCTACACAAATCAAAACTATAGGTTATTTGCGTGGGCAAGAGGTGCTTGATAAATAACATCCAATGAAAAGGATGCACGAAAAACGTTCAAAACGTACCTTCACCAGCGAGCGATAGCCATTAGCAGGTATGTGTGGGTCAAAATCAAAATGGTGGTAAACTGCTGCAAAACCAGAGACCACTGGCTCCAGACTGCGAGCATGCTCCAGGATCGAGTTCATCGCTACCACCAATCGCCGAGACGCATCCCCCTGTGGCCCCTTGGCTCCTCCTGAGAAGAATGTGGCATTTTCTTCGCAGATGTTGTAAAGGGCCGCAAACACTGCTTTGGTGTCCATGACTAGAAACAGAGAAGGAGGAAAGAATGGTAAAAATAGTTTCATGCATCAGGGGGGTATTTTACCTTTTAGAATCACTATGTAGGGGTGTAAAGCTAAAGTGAAACGACGTCAATATAACTGGATATGTCTCACAATTTTTAGGCGTTTTGTGACATTGAGCTTATGATGTTTTTTTCTTGCAATACATGCAATTTTCACAATGCATTTTCTGTTGATGCCACTAGGGGGCGACAGACAATTCACCTTTGCTAGATGGTCACCTACTGTCAGAGTGCATGGGTCATACGGAAAGAAGCTTTCACCCTGAAAAATATCCAGATTCTCAAATAGATCTAGTTGTGCACATTGATCAGGGTGAAGACCCTCGTCCGACCCAGAAGTACTCTACAGATGTTCTTTATTACTGGGCATACAACCCTGAAATGTTATTTAAAATGTATAATTACACCTACTCCACAAAATCAAAAATATTAAAGCTTATAAGAGTCTGGAGAATCATAAAATTAAGTAATGTCTTACGGTTTTCTCTCACTCTAATCCTCCTTCAAGTCTTAATCAGTGTTAGGCAAGAGTAAGCTAAGCTAACTAAGCCCTTTTTTCTGTGTAGGAACACACTGCCTATTTGATACTGCCATGTTTGGTCAACAAACTATTGGATGCATCTCATGTAAAAAAAAAAACAAAACAAAAAAATCCACATAAGACACAGTAAATATGTAATTAAATAAACATTTATAAATGTGTTATTCCTGTAGAACAAAAACTTGCTAGCGGGTGTTATAGCATAGAATAGTAAATTATAGAGGATATTGCACGAGGTAGTGTGTTGTGGTGCGGGGGTGGGGGGTGAGTTTAACTAATGTTGTCATTAAACATTATTTGCTTCAAAGGAAGAATAACTTTTTGATTTGACGACAACATTTTGGCCAATTCGTCAATTTAATTCCACGTGGCAGCTGTAGACACTTTAACCACCCGGATTAGAATCCTCAACCACAAGCATACCCCGTGACTCACACTGTAGGTTGAATTTACACTGTGCTCTTTGAAAATACTGTATAATGAGCTTTTTGTCAGCCCTTGCGTTGCACATTCGGTCTAAGAGCATCAACGGCTAATTTCAGAATTTCTTTATGACACGGGTCATGGGGTCTTGTGAGCGCGCCGTTTCCTTTTTAAACTTACTGGGAAATGTCTGAGGTTTTAGAAAACATCAGCAGCAGTTTAACCTTTGAAGCACATTTTGACTGGGCTGAGAGAGAAGGTTTGAGTGAAACTACAGACTCTTGTGCACCACAAATACCAAAGGGGTAGATTACTAGCATGCAGTAGTTATCAGTAATAGGAAGTAGTCCTACTAACTATAGTTAGTAGTTTGCATACAGCTGTTAGCCAAGGTCTGAGGTCAAGCGTCCCCAATCACCGCTCTAAAGACCGGTACCGGCCCATAGGTAATTAGTAAGGATGCGCCGAATTTTCGTCCGAAAGACTTTATTGAGGTTCAGTACACAGTGATAGCCATAAATGCAATAGTACTTCTAACTGGCATAACAATTATTAGTACCATTGCATTTATCGGCCCTGGTTTCCTCATTTTCGGTTTCGGACAAGAATTTTTATTTCGGTGCATCACTAGTCATTAGGGACCGAGCCGCAGTGTAACAGTTTGTAAGTAAAGTGTTTTTACGTTTTTACAGCAGCTTATCGTGCTGGCAAAATCGGAAATGTTTGGACTTGAAATGAAGAATTTGTATTTCAAAGTGAATCAGGTGAATGTTTTTCGTGACTTTTGGAACATTAACTAATTTGACAATATTAATTCGAAGTTTACAGAAAAAAAATGTAGGGCTGCACAACATAACGATACTAAAAATGCACGTCCTACATTTTGACTATCACGAATTTATTGTCATTTTTATAGGGAATTTCTCTTTGGACCTTAATATTCGCAGGAATTTACGGTATCTTTTACAGAACAAATGTGTAGCTTACAATTTATACCGTTGATTGTACAGAAAAATAAGGAATCAAGCGCACTTTACTAACTGTAAAGTCAACAATATCAAGCCGTAAATTAACCACAGCTGCCGGCATTGTACCGTTGAAACAAAACCCATGTCAATTTTAAACTAAAACAGCAGATTTTTTTTAACAGTGACGAATAGGAGAGAATTTCCCCATGTCAATTTTAAACTAAAACAATGTATTGAACTTTATTTTACAGTAAAATACTAAAACGCAGAAATTAGTGTCAGTAAATGAAGAAAGCGTTGTACTGTAATTTTACGGTACTGTTTCGGCAACCGCGGCTACCGGTACTTCACCATAAAAAAAACAGCAGATTTTTTTTTTAACAGTGACGAATAGGAGAGTATCAGAGAACAATCTAGATCAAACCGGAAGTGAAGAGGATTTCAGACAGGATTATTAACTTGAGGCTGTAAGGTGAGAGCGTGTAAGGAAACAAGCAGAATGAAGTGGCAGAAGGAGAGAGTGGCGAGAGGCGCAGACTATAAAAAGACATGTCCGTGAGGGCGAAAGTGGTGATAATGATGCTGCGGAGGTGAGGTGTTTAAGCAAGGAGTGCAGGAGGAAAACAGATTTAGATTTCGCGAAGAGGGCAGAAATGTCTGTGGTAAACACTCTATCTATGAAGATGAGGGCGAAACACAAAAACAGAGTGATAAATGAGGGACAACTGAGGTGTAAACAACCTTCACTTCTGTGTACGAAATGAGATAGTTTTAGATTTTGCGAAGAGGGCAGAAACGTCTGTGGTAACGCTCCTATGAAGATGAGGGCGAAACAGAGTGATAAATGAGGGACAACTGAGGTGTAAACAACCTTCACTTCTGTGTACGAAATGAGACAGACGGGGGATTGTAAGGTGGTGCTAGCGCAGAGTGGAGCAGGTGGATAAGTATGTTGGAAGACAATAAAAACCAAGAGGAGAAAAGCTCAAAAAATCTCTTTTTAACCTCTGATTAAACATTTTGGTATCACTACACCATACATTTATGCGAAAGCGAGCAAAACAACAGCTACTGACAACACAGGCAGACACACGTTGTTCTTTACACACAGTATTCTTCATCTATTGACATATGGGAATAATTCCTCTATGAACTGTGCGGACACGTTTTGCTTAGGCAAACACAATCGAAAAAAGAATGATCAGGGTGACCGACCACAGTAAACTAGTCAAGCCCAAATAGTAAGCTTCAGGTGCAGGATGTCCTCTGGCTAGGCAGCCAAAATGAAAAAAAATAAATAAATGAATTGCTTGATCAAAGCAGCGTTAAAATCATCATCTGGATGAGTCTAATTAGTCCATAAAGTCTAGCTGTCTCTGCCATATCCACATATGCTCATAAAAAAACTTGCAAAATGATAATGAAGCTATTTTCGTCTTAAGCCGGTCCATGATGCAGGAGCGTCCATGGTCATCATAGAGAGTCACTCTGACAGACATTCAATCTTTTCCTATTCACTGTTCCACATCGAGCTACTTCGCTAGTCAAACTCAGGCCCAGGGGCCAAATCTGGTCCACAATGTAATTACATTTGGGCCACAAGATCATATCAAATGTGTACTAGGAGTTGGCCTGCCAGTATATAGCATCGATATATCGGCAGAATTATGAAGTATTAGCGTTGTATGTGCTAAATTACAGCACATACATTTTGTTTTTTGTTGTTGTTGTTGCCCTGTGGAAAAAAAAAATATTAAAAAGGAACTTTTTAGGCTACATATAAAGAGATGTAATAAGAAACAAAGTTAATTTCATAGTTAATTTATGATATTGAACTTTGGTCGTTTCAGTTTTAATGTGTACGCAAAGAACAAATACTACCGATGTGTGTTTTATTTCAAAGTTAATTTATGATATTGAACTTTGGTCGTTTCAGTTTTAATGTGTACGCAAAAATAAAGTTTGTTTTCACATGAGAATGAACAAAATGAACGTTATCCAAAGGGCTGCTCATAAAACTCAGTCTGTTGACAAAAACATAATCCCAGTGCCCACGCCAGAAGATTGCGTCCGAAGGAACTTGAGGTCATTTTAAACTTGAATGACTCAAGTCATTCGGCAAATCTGTTAGCAAATGTGTTGAGATCTTAAAAAAAAAATAAAAAAAGTTAATTTAGCTGCATAATAGTATTGTATTGTCACTGGAAGCCCACTGCAACCCTATAGACAAAACCCAGTCTTTTCACATTAAAGATGGATGAGAGTAGGTATTAATAAGTCATGTTCAAAGGCCGTTAAGCCAGTAACATCACATAAGGACTCCTGAGGGGGCCGCTAAAACACAAAATACATGATTGGATCAGAATATCTACTTAAAGCAGTGTGGTGTAAAAAGAGAAAATATTTTACCAGCAGCTTCAGAGTTCAATGCTTTGTCCTTGTCTGTCTCCTCACTTCCAGGAAACAATGTGAGCATGGTAGAAACAAACGGAGTGAGGGAGAGAGCAGGAAAGAAAGAGAGAGAGAGAGAGAGAGTTATGACAGAAACAGCGCTTCTCAACTAGTTCAGCTGCTTTAAGAAGCTGTTGCTGTATCTCTTTCCTTCTTCTCTACTGCATAGGTCCAACCATTCAGCATGTAGAAAAACGGACTCTACTCAAAAAAAAGATTCTGTTATCATTCTGTTCCTCTCGCTATGGATCTTTCCTTTAATATACAGTATATATATATATAAAAAAAAACAAGGTGTGGCTTTCATCTGCTGAACTTTCTCCCTCTAGATTGTAGGAGTTTTGTTATTTGTTGGTCAGTTAGCAACTCCCTTTGACTTTTACCCTATTTGGCAGGTTATAACAATGGAAGCAGGGACATTAAGAAAAAGCAGAGCTTTTTTTTTTCTTTATATCGACTTACATTAACGACAATCGATTGAACTTCATGAAGCTATGATTCTATAATTAAATAGATTTAATGAGCTGAAGATCAAATAACTGAAATGTCTTCCATTCCTTATTGTTTTTGTTGTTATTAATAGTATTGGCCACCAGGACAGCTGCGGCCAGTCCCAGCTGAAGATAGGCAAAGGTCGAGTACATCTTGTAAGGCTCACCAGGCCAAAAACATAGACACAAACAAGCACACTTTTAGTCAATTCAGTTTCAGAAACCCTTACCCCAGTCTGTATGTGTTTGGACTGTGGAAAAAAAAAACACATTGAACACAAAGAAATCCCAAATGTATAAGGACACACGTTGTTACTGTTTGTATTATTCTTCACAGTTATGTAAGCATTTGTACTAGCACTAACAAAAGCATTAGCATTAGCAGTGGTAGAGGTTGTAGTACCAGTTATAGAAAATATAATACAACAGTAGCAATGATAATAGTAATTATAATAGTAGCATTCCATATACATACTTTTTTTTTTTTTTACATTTTCCATAGAACAGGGTTAGTCAATTATAAATAGTCAATTATATCATTTTCAGTCAAAAATAGAACAAAAATCTTCTGGTACTAGGATGAGGGATCGCCCTGTATGTTTTATTCTAATACACCTATAAATTATATATAATTTATGTATCCTGAAGTAGTCTGCCCTATCTAATATTAGGACCCGCTGTGGCCTGCATTTAAAAAGATCAAAGTCTGGACCTAGGCCGCTGGTCTAAAAGAGGAATCGACAAAGACAGACACAAAGAGCAGAGCGCCTTACACTGACTTTCTGGGTTCACTCCCAAAGTCATAACATCTGTCTCTGGTCTGTACACAGTTAAGCACAAACAAAATGACACATTGAAACCCAATCACGGTGTCTGTTGGCAATAATCTGCCGATTCGATACGCATCACAATACAGGCGCAACAATACTTTATATTGCGATATACTGCGATTATACAGACATTGTATATATTGACTTTTTTCAACAAATGAATTGTAGGAAAACTGTCAGCAAAGCAAACACAAGATGATGTGAGTTTCCCCTTTTACCATTGTAGCTCAAAGCTAGAAGCTAAGCACAAGCACAGGATAGGTAGCGTGCCACAGACTGGGGCTCTCCCGATATGTAATTATTCCTTTGGAGCGGACAAGATGACTGCTGCAGACTAGTGGCCAGAGATTTAAATGCAACATAAAAATGAATCAACGTTGCATGTCAATTGTTAATAAAAAAATTGATACAGTGCTTTACAATGTCGATGCAGTATCGTAAAATGAAATATCGCAATAAATCAGTGTATTCATATTTTCTCACACCCCTATTATATACATAATAATGAAAGAAGCAATAGATCAGCAACTACTCGTTGCCATTATTTTGATTAGATTTCTCCAACTTGCCTTAGTGTGAAAAAAGTACCGTAGCTAAGATTTATAAATATTTAGAAAAGGTTTGGGTTAAAGTTAAATCTGATTTTTTTTTTTTTGTAAAAATGTCAATTGGCATAAAGCTTTAAAAACAGTCGTGAACAAGTTGTGAACACAAGCAAAGAGGAAGAGGCAACAGTGGGGGCTTGGTAGTGTCATGCTTTGGAAGCGTTGACCCTTCTCCCACTTCTGGCTCAACAAGGGCCTGGCTCACACACAAGGACAAACTTGAACAACAGGAAACCAGCCACAATAGGCATCCACATTCTTTTTCATCTACCTGTAGAGTTCCTTTAGGGCTAAAATTGTAGATAACACGTGTATGAGCTGAGAGTAACTCAGCTGCTTTAGAACACTGTGTAAGAGGGTTGTTTTTAACAGAAATCTCATTAAATGTCATTATAAAGGCGGGCAACTATTGACCAACCCGTCACAAATACATCGCCGAAAATATTGTAATACTTGCGTTTCATAATTTGCGAGGAACTTGTGTTGTTCCAAATGGCAACATAGCAGTTTAGTTTTAGCTCTGTTTATATAAGAACAGGTAACAGAGAAAGCCTGTTTAGTCAGTACAGAAAAATTGTATTAGGACAAACACTGAGGTTTTAACATTTCACTCCTTGAACACATATTGATTTATGATAGGAAGTGCAATTTTATTATTATTATTATTATTATCTTTAATCATCATATTGATACATTTACTGTTGAATGATTAAATGAGAAAATAGGATTGTAAAATCAAAAGAGTCATTTGATTTAAACTAGGACAGCTGATATATTAAACAACTTTGAAACAGTATGTTTGCTAAACAGAACAAATGTAATGAATATGATTTAATTTTGAGTAAAAAAAAACAAAGATAGCTTTGTGCGGGAACTCTTCAAAAAAGAAAATTACTTTAATCAGAGATAAGAAAAATATGACCTAAAAAGTACTATTTTGTTGTAGACTTGTTTATGAAATACCTTTCTTAAGAAACAATATCCTTACATTAAATATTTTTATCGAGGGAAGGCTTGGTGGGTAGCAAAGATTTACAGAGCATGTAAGAGGAATCTTGATAAGACAAACCTTAAGTATGTAGGTAGCTGCCCAATAGGCAAAATGGTAGAATGTAAACAGTGGTACCCTTGCGTTAACCACACTCTCTGTGTGAAAATGTCTGTACTTTTGATAATACATGCTCCTACAATACAACAGAATACAACAAGTCTACTAAGGCAACAGTGGAAAAAAAGCAGCTGTATTAAAGCAGCAAACGTTTTTGTTTAGTGAATGGACTTAGCCCATAGCCCTTATAATAGACATACGTATATGGTAAAAATCTGTTTCACTAACTTACAGCAATTATATGTGTATTTCAACATTTAAGTTTTCCAAAAACACAGCATGTTAAATATTAACATTAGGAATTAGGCCCAGTAAGCAGTGTGAGGGGGGGGTGAAAGGGAATGTTGTCCATCTTGTTAGCAAAATAACCAAAATGGAACCCCTTTTGTTAACCTGCCACCACCTCTCAGAACGGAGGTGGTGCTGCACCTTGGCAACTTAACAAGGCCACACGCCTTTGATAGGAGACAAGTTGCCATCCAGATTAAACAAAATGAAGATGCTAAGATTTTCAATTGTAGTGAACAGGGTGGACAGGATCAGAAATAAACTAAGTTTGAGATGGTTTGGACATGGAGACAGAATTGCTAGGCTAGCGTAGGAGCTTAGAAAAGATGGATGTAGTGTATATTAACATAAAATAACGTGACACTAAGTGAAATAGGAATTAAAGTGGATAAATGGAAACGAAATGCTTAGTTTTATGTAAAGTAACATCAAGAAAAACTTTCTCCAGCCCTAGAAATAGCCCTGTAGAAATTATTTTCATGGGGCCCAGAATCCCTGGCAGGACCTGCCTGTAACCAGTCACGGTAGGAATTATTATTGATATCTTTCCATATTATTATCGACATCTTTGTCAGACTACTTACTTTCTACATTTGGCACTTAGCTAAAGCCGAGTATTCCAAAATACTTAAACAGTCGGGTTCAACTCCCTTATTCCCCTATATTCTCACTTTGTATCTGTGAGTGTAGTTAACTCATGCATCCTACCTGAAACAAACTCACTTCCACGTTTCCATGCCCACTCCCTGCCTTTGTACGCGTTTGAACTCGATGTTCAAGTGACTTATGTCGCCAGTTACGACACCGTATAAAAGCATTCAGTAACACACAGCCTCGGAGCCACTCACAGACAGATGTCGCTATCATCCCTGCTTTGACTAATAGTGCAAACATTAACGTTACGTGGTGTCTGCCGCTACTGTCATGACAACAGAGGAGGTTGGCAACACGTATCCCTAACCATACATTCATGTAGAGCGGATAAAAGGCACCCAGACCCGGAGGCTTAAACACCACTTGATCATATGAGCTAACAGAGCAGCTAACGCCGGCTGAAATGTTTGTAGCATCGGCTGGGACAACATCAATGTCGGACAACATAAATGTCGGCCAGTTTAATGGGAAAACTGACCTAAAACAGGAAACTTAACTCACCAATTGGACTGTCTCTACGTTTGGCCACTCGTTTTCCATTTATTCCTTTCTCCGGTCGACTGTTCCCAGCACTCTTGTCCGACGCCATGTTCGCCCACCGAAAAATACACCGCCTTTCCAGTCTCCCACTACATACCTGCCTGGGAGCGCCTGTGGCCCCGCCCACAACAGAAATAACAGCCAATGAAGAACCGCAACAGCGACTACTAGCCAATTATTAGACTCAAAGCATTACTATGGTCCCGCCCCTTTACATCAAAGCCTCCCAAAGAAAAAGTGGTAATACACAGCACAGGGAAAATATGTTTCCGTAGAACTGATCCTTGAATACACTAGAAATATTGATTATATCCGCTAAACAGAGTACATTTAAAAACCTGTGGCTTGATTTGTAGCAACAAGAAGGCAGTGCATTCCTCCGATATTCTGCAGAAAGACAAAGGGGATGTGTAATACTTTTTCATGTTGTAGCCTGGTTGTCAGGAAATGAATTTCCCAAGAAAATGTTTTTTTAGGAGGAGGGCGGGTGATAGAACTGTTCAGAAGTGTATATAGAACTTTGACTAAACCTACCGATAAAGATATATTCATTAAAATATGTACTTTTGTATGTATATAGAACTTTGACTAAACACGGTGTCTCAGGAGTTGACAGTTTTAAAACCTACCGATAAAAATATATTCATTAAAATATGTACTTTTGTTGAGTTATGCGATTAAATCACCAAGTACCATGTCTTAAAAAGGGTATCTACTTTCAGCTACTTGGTTAAGCTTGGTTATCGCCATTTCATGAATATAAAATAATATGCCATGCTTCACTTCATCGCCATTACATGAATATAAAATAATATGCCATGCTTTGTGACCACGTAAAGCAAATCAGGTGCATTTTTCTTTTAAAATTGTTTCTTGTAACTCTTAGCTGAAACATAAATTGAATGAAATCAAATATATTACATCATATATCATTTTTGCTAGTTAAATTTTATTATTTTTGAAAACAAGACACCCGCAAAGTACAGAGCCACATATTACACACGTATGTTTTGTTGATACACACAGCTAATGTGTACGACAAAGTCACTGAGCTAATTTTAAGGAAAGTCTCAGAGGTTTTAGTGGGCTAAAATCAATTGTCTTTGTAATTGTGTTATGGCATTGTTAATGCTTTTCGATCTACGTCATGCTAAAATAACAGTGTTATTACGTCTACATTACGTCTATTTCTGCATAATATTGATGGTTTCCAAGTTATTAGGGTGTGAATTTGTTCAGGCAGGACACCCTGAAGGCCGACGTGAGATATACACGAGACGCCACTTGTTTTAAGGAGTGTTTCTCCAATCCTGGGTATTACTGCAGTACTGTAGAGACTTCATGAGAAGTCAAATGTATTTGTTTAACTCAAATTTGAAGCCGCATAGCAATAAATGTCACACATAGGCCACATTCATGCTACCATTTTTTTCCCTTCCTGACAAAATAAAGTGACTTTCTTATGACATTCACTTACAGACAATTCTGACTTTTGATTGGTCGGTCCATTTATGTTTTATTATTCTGTTTATGCGTAGCACAGCTTAATTGAACATGCATTAAAATCCAAGCAATGTTTTGCTTTGCATTATCTATAATTATTATAAAAAAAAAAATCTGGTTAGCTGCTCTTTTTAGCGTTTACGTAATTCAACGTGAACACTGATTGGCTGCCAATTCCAATTAGTATATATATATGTATATATATATATACACATATATATAAAGTATATATATATCAATATTATACGGTATATATTTATATGAATATATATACTGTACATATATATTTATGTATATATATTCATATATATATATATATAAATAAATACATATATTTATATGTATATAAATATATGCATATTTATATACATATATATTAAAATCTGTATGAAAAATGTTGTCCCTATGTGTAGAGACAAAACCCCAAAGCCTTCAAATTGTCAACGTTTGCAGTATAAATTGCGGTACATTTGCAGCCATATAGTTTGAATAGAGCCTTAATCTATCCACGGACTTCTCAGGGTTTCTCCAGCTGGATTTCCTCCTCTTCCAGTTCTTCTTTCATGTTACCCACATCCTCGTACAGGTACTGCCCCTGTGTGCGTACAATCTCATCATATGTGGCAGAACACTCATCCAGATTCAGCCCCTGGAGGAAACACAAGATGACTCAATAATTCATTCATTATTAATAATAGTAATTGATAAATCATTATTAGTGACTCAACACGCCACCCAACTGTTACCACAGGCTATGGTCATATCCCGTCCAGATTACTGCAATGCCCTCCTATCTGGTCTTTAACCAACCCAAAAGGGCGTATGTAACTGCTCATTGATCTACACTGACGACCGGTCGCTGCGCGGATCAAACACAAGTCATTGACTCTTGCTTATAAAATAACCACAGGGGGCGCTCCTGCAAATGTAAACTCATTGATAAAGGCTTACACATCCGCTCGGATGCTGCGCACATCACAGGAGTATTGACTTGTCTTGCCCCCTCCTCACACAAGGCGATCTCGGTGAACATGGGGATACGAACTACCAGCTACCACAAGATCAGGGTCCTCTTTCTCTTCTTTCAAGAATCACTTAAGAACTTTTTGGATACGAACTACCGGCTGCCGCAAGAGCAGGGTCCTCTTTCTCGTCTTTCAAGAATCACTTAAGAACTTTTTTCTCCAAAGAACAGCTGCTATCCTAACAAACCCACCAACGTCTAACATGCACCTCTTCGTACTCTACGAACGACTATCCTTATGACATATTCTTATGACATACTATTCTTCTTACTCTATGACCTACCATGACTATAACTGTACTTTTTCCTTATTTATTATTTATGTTTTTGTATGTTTACTGTAGCTTGATTGTTGATTGACTGACGCAAATTGTACATCGCTTTGGCTAAAAGCTTCTGCTGAAACTAACGTATTGTGATGTAATATTCACAATGGGAATTCTATAATGTGTAGGTTTGTGCAATTCGAGTCTTACCTGATAAATGTTCTCCTCTTCTTTTCCCGCCTTCTTCTTTTCTAGTTGAACCAGTTTCTTTGACTGTAAGAAACAAGTAATAAGAAATCACTTAGAAAAACAGTGTAACTGACATTTGAACACAGGCCTCTTGATGTTTTCAATGTTGTGTGGTGAAACCCAGGCAGGAGTTAAGACGATGTCATTTTATCCGTCATTGCCTTGGGGAGGAGTTTAACGTTCAGTTCAGTTCAGTTCAGTTCAGTTCCTCATCCAGTTTTGATGTCACCCTACGTCCCAAATGATGGACGTGGACTCAAGTCAACTCAAAGAATAAAAAGTTAGGATGCTTAAATTCCACCCAACAGCTGGTGAACCAACAGACTAAAATGTATCCATCTATCCATCCATCCATCCATCCATCTATACAGCTATACATTCATACATCTATACATCCATCTATCTATACATCCATCCATCCATCTATACATTCATACATCCATCCATCTATACATCTATCCATCCATCCATCTATTTATCCATCCATCCATCTATTTATCCATCCATCCATCTGTACATCTATCCATCCATCCATCCATTTATCCATCCATCCATCTGTACATCTATCCATCCATCCATACGTCTATCCATCCATCCATCCATCTGTACATCTATCCATCCATCCATACGTCTATCCATCCATCTATATGTCCATCCATCCATCCGTCTATACGTCTATCCATCCATCCATACGTCTATCCATCCATCTATACGTCTATCTATCCATCTATCTATCCATCCATCCATACGTCTATCCATCCATCTATACGTCTATCTATCCATCTATACGTCTATCCATCCATCTATACGTCTATCCATCCATCTATACGTCTATCTATCCATCCATACGTCTATCCATCCATCTATATGTCCATCCATCCATCCGTCTATACGTCTATCCATCCATCCATCTGTCTATCTGTCCATCTACCTACCTACCTATGGTCAAGGTCTCCAGTCAGAGACTGAATTTGCATCTTCCCGATGTGATTGTGGACCATTTGGGATGGAGAGACAACTTTCCATCGTACCAATCAATAATGTGAATGTGCTGTCACAACATCATCACCCCCACAGTTGAGTGACCTTCTGACCTTGCATAAAAGGGTGGCTGAAGGCAAGAGTACACAGAGCAGCAGCAGGATTCCCTCCGCGGTGAGGATGCTGTTCTTGGTGGTTTCCTTGAGATTTATCCTCTTCTTCAGGGGCTCTATAAAGAAGGAATGTAAGCAAGGCTACATCTTCTGGAACACGTGTTACATTTTGCGGAGTGTAATTCCAACTTGACATGAGAAGAAAAAAAAGTGAGATAAAACATAGAATAAAATGAATTAGATGATGGAGCATGGATTGTACAGTTCAATGTTAGTGAACTGACACCTAGTGATGGGACTTGTGGTTTCAATACAATAAACCTATTCGACTGGCGGTTTGTGGGCCAATTCTGGACAACATCTGGCTTCCCAGTCATTGAAGGCATAAAAAGGAAAACTAAGCTAGCTCTTAGCACAAACAGACTTACGGAAGACTTGCATGTAGGTGCCATGAGAGAAGTGGCCTTTGGTGTTAAGCAAGCACTGGTACAGTCCACTGTCGTTCAGCTTGACTGACTTAAAGATCAGGACACTACAGTTTTCGCCTCGGTAACTTTGGGTGTTCGAGGTCACGCCATCCTTCAGGTTCACAGATATTGTGCCAGCGCCGTTGAAACTTCTGACCCAGTGGACGGAACCTGTGTTCCCAGATGTGACGGTGAAGCAGCACATCAGCTCAGCAGGTTCAAAAAGGGCAAAACTCATGTAGGGGTTGTCAGGCCTCCAAGTAAGCTCACTGTGTACAGCTCCCACTGTGGAGGAAATTATTTCAATGTTTTCATACGTACTGTTTATTAAACAGATGGTTGGAAAGCCACAGATACATAAAGTTATATATTTGGTGTATGTATGTATGTATGTATGTATATATGTATGTATGTATGTATGTACAGTATGTATGTTTATATATTTATATTGATAGTGATATTTGATAAAGTTGTATAGATATGTATGGATAAATATATGTATATATATTAATACATATCAAAAACATAACTATATACTGTACATCACATATCAGTATCAATATAGATATATATACATACATATATACATACATGTATACATACATATATACACATATATACATACATACATATATACATGAAATGTGGCAAAAGGTCACAAAGTTCAAGGGGGCCAAATACTTTCGCAAGGCACTGTATATACATACATATAAACATACATGTATACATACATATATACACATATATACATACATACATATATACATATATATACACATATATACTGTACATATATATGTTTTTGTTATTTTTTTTGTGGAAGTAATTATGAATAATATCATAGAACAACTATGACAAACAAACAAACATCTCTGCAGGAGGTGACAGGAGGTTAAAGATGCTGGGACTTCCATTTGCAGTAGCCAGGAAGGACCGGACATATTAGACGTTTTAACGTTTTAAAATGTGCTGAGGAGAGATAACAAATGTGGCACATGGATGGATGATCACCAGAAGAATTGCAGTCAACTTCTTTGACAAAAAAAGAGGAAGAAGATTAAGGAGGAGGACAAAGGAGAAGTGGTGTCAAAGGAGAAACGTACTAATTTTACAGTAAAAGCGCAAAGGTACGAAAATCGTATGTTTTTTTTAACCGAGTAGAGCAAAACCGACGAGGTGAAGATGAATCAGACACTCGACGTTCGAACCGAGGCGGAATACAGTACAGTTAAATAAGGAAATGCAAAAAAAAAAAAAAAAAAAAAGAAAAGGAAATTTCCACTAAACACACAACAAATACAAAAGTTGAAGAAGAAGTGTTGAAAAAAACAAAACAAATTCAAGTCAACGAAAAAAAGTGACAACGAATGGGGTACTGTAGAGAACTGTAAACTGGAAAATAAACCGAAGTACAGTTGTCAGACACAGCCATCTGTTCTGTCAGGGGACGAGCTTCAGTGAAGCAGAACTAAAAGCAGCACTATTAAAATAAAAAAAGGAAACAAATAAATGCTCAGGATATTAAAACGCACTGTGATGGAAAAGACAAACTGTTCATTACGCGTAGCATACATTTGACTTGACTTCGACACCAATACTGTCATGAAAAATAGATATAAATATCTAAAAACATTTAGTTCAAATTATTGTTTACTTACTTGCGAAGCTACAGAGAGCAAGGACCGTAAGAGCCGCCATATTTTTTTTTAAATGTAAGGACAAAGTGACTTAAACGAACGGAAAGACGAAGATCAGACGGTCCATCCCAGTCTTCAACTGCTACCGTTTTGCTGCAGCACCAGTATTTCGTCTGTCTCCACAGGATTCACGCTTGAACAAACGCATGACTTTGTTTGACATGCACTTATTTACATACACCAGTAACAGGTGTGGTGTGTTACCAGTAACAGTGGCTGATGTTATTCAAAAAAAAAAGCCTTTACGCGAGACAGATTTTACAGATAAACATTTCTTTAAGGGCCCGTTACACCGCAAATAAATATTTCCTATGATGAGCATATGATAAAAAAAAGTGATTTTAAAAAAAAGAAAGAAAAAAAAAAAAAAAAGCACCATCTCATCAGCAAATAACCATAACCAAGCAGAACTACATTTCCCAAATTTATTTAAAAATATTATAGAATAAGAAAATACAAACGTACCACAATTTTCCTTAAGTATACATCATGAAAGAGCCTCATACACAGTAAAACTCAAACCCCAAAATACACAATATAATTCTTGCATCATCATAGTTTGGATAAAGGAAACTGACTAAATTGGCAGTGTCCTCTCTGTATACACAGCAACGGTCGGCAAAGGTGGCGAGGTATTCAAATCCCACCGCTGGAATCCAAGCAAAAGGTACGCGAATGGAGAAAGAACGCTAAAGCAGGGGGGTCTGCCAATGAGGCCTACATAGGCCTACAATGATCTCTCACTCTCTGGATCCTACATGGAAGAGGGTGAACTGTTCGCAGACCTAAGGGCCATTGAGCGGAACAACAGCTGATTGGTCAGAACAAAGCACCGGTCTTCAATGGTGACCGTCGATACATCTGGGTATTCTGTATATTTGTGGAACCGAGGGCAACAAAGACCAGGAAGTGCCTGTTGTAACTGTCAGCCATGCGAATAATGTAAATGAACCATTGTTACTCTATGCCTGTATGAATGTATAAATACAAACGGACCCTTCCAGCTTGTAGTGAGACGAAATTTGACGATTTGTAAATATTGTAAAAATTGTTTTGTGCATTGGACTGCAGTGCTCGAAATCCTCCATCTAACTCAACGCAAAGGCAGCAGATCGCCTGTCAATGTATAAAAATAGAATTATGTGAAAGTGTTAGCGGTTAAATGGGGACATTATAGCAAGAAAGAAAATAGTCTTTTTTTTTTTTTGTTCAACACGTGTCGTTTTTCCCTCTGTTTGGGGCCATTGTAAATCATATCAGAGCAAATTAGTTAAATACTGTCACTTTTAAAGCATTTTTTTTTTATATTTCAGTTCGACTTTAAAATGCTTATAGGTTTTAGCTTTTCACATTTTCTTTAAGCTATTTATTTGATTTTTTTTTTTAACTTTCTTAAAGTTCACCAACATTTCCACCATTATTTAAGTATATGGAGGATCACTTAGACCAGCGGTGTCAAACTCATTTTTACCGAGGGTCTGGAAGACTAAAGTAACCACTCCTTAATGTATTAATACACTTTTCTGTAATTGATTATTATTTATTTGAGTTACAAATATTGTAAATTGCTAAAAGAAAAAAAAGTAATTCGTCAAGTAAAGAAAACCACAAGCATGGACTTCATTATAATCCAATGCTTTTTTTTAAGCTTCTGTGGGCCACACAACACGACTTGGTGGACCACATTTGGCCCGCGGGCCTTGAGTTTGACACGTGTTTTAGAGTATTATACAATACAAATCATAACCAGGAAATATTATTTGTCCTCTCTCGACTAATACATATCCATTCTGTAACGTTTTGTAACGTCCTTCGCAAAAGACAATCGCAAAGAGTTTACCATACGGTTAAGTATGCTCGGTTCCTCTTTTACTTTTGTGGGGGGGGGGGTTTAAAGGCAACCGCTGACATTTTACGGTCATTTCTAAGCCATGTATTCATGTCGTTAGCCGACTTCAGTGATGCTAATCAGTGGCAAGTGTTGCCATGGACATACAGGTTACAGAAAAGCCCTGTTGCTCTCAACGTTATACCCAAATATACAGACTATCATCACTGCAGACACCTCTTTCACATAAATCGTACGAAATAGACATCAAAGCCAAGTATGCGCGTGGTAGAAAAGGTGATCATGCTTGAAAAAAAAAGTGAGCAAGCCATCAAGAGGTGTATGTTACTGCGAAAGCTTAACAAACACAAAGAGATAACGGGGATGACGATAGCTTTGTTTCCTTCAATATCAGCATTTATATACAGTATCAGAGAGAGGCGAGACAGCGACGGTCGAGACTACATCTTAAATGCTCCTTGGAATAACGTTTTTTGTTGTTTGTTTTTTTTTTTTTCCAAAACTGAGGTCCATTTGTTACTGTGGCAAAAAAAACCATTTACATGCTATTCAGGAATTGATCACGAGGATTACAGTACTTAAAGGAAAGAAACTGGAATGAAAATAATCCAGGCGCTCACTGCATCTGCACTGGTAATGAATGCGGCGATACTGAAAGTCAGTATCAGAGACAAATATAGAATAGGACCATGACCCAAAACCATTTGAAGGAAACCCAACTGACAGGGGACTACTGTGGGAGCAAGTTGTGGAAGACAAGATGAGCTATAAGGAAGAAGATGCTAGCCTGAACACAGCTAGCTGCATATTATTATTTTTTTTTTAAAAAACACGCACACATTGACTGTATTGACATTGATTGTGACATCAACACAATAACGGAGTTTACCGTGCACCATTTCTGAATCCTTTTGACAATATTTGATCATGAGAGTTTTGACACAACACTTTGGTAAATTTGAAAAGCTCAGGACAGTTAGCGGTAGGGATGGCGCGATCCGATACTCAAGATTAGTATCAGTCCAATATTGGTCAAACTTTGGAAAAAAAAAACAACTATAGCCCATCAGATCCGACACCTAAGCCCAAAATGCTCACTTTAACTTTGCGTGACCTGTCCTAAACAGGGACACTATCCTCTCAGCTAAGGCAGCCCGCGGCATCCTGGCGGAGAAAAGAAGTTACCGGATTGATATCGGTATCGGCAGATACTCCATCGGACCATCCCGATTTAATAGGACTTAAAAGTCCAGCTGCATGTATCGGCGGTGATCACTTAAACTTGAAGTTGTGATATCTGCAACGGACAATTCCAAAGGCTTTTCTGTATGGACTTTTTTCCCATCGCTGTTAGAACGAGCAGCTAAATTAGGTACAAACCAAGGGCTTGAATCTCGTCATCATCTCAATCACTCGGGTTTACGGATAAGAAGCTGCGAATGAGTTTTTGGGAAGTCAATACTCATGACATATGAAAACACTGGGCCACATCTGATGTCTGATGTCACTCACCATTTTTTTTTACAACTTTCCACTGTTTGGTCCCCTGTGGACAAACTAGGAAAGGAAGGACACATTTAACTCAATGACGATCGATTCAACCTATGACATGCCTCCCTTCATCTGCTGTACTCTCTCTGCATCTCACACACACCTGCTGGCACTCCATCTTGTGGCCCAGTGTTGTAACAGCGTAACTCCACCACAGTCGCCCCACTGTCCCAGAATAATAAATTAACGTTATACATAACAGTAAGTCTCCATCGCACTCCTTTAAAGTTTGCCTGTTACCTAATTACAGTAAGAAGACCCCCCCCCAAACCAGCACTTCCTCAATTATTAAAAACTCTATAACACACACACACACATAATCTTCTCGCGTGTGTGTTTCACGCTAACTTGATTAATCTTGTCGCGTGTGTGTTTCACGCTAACTTGATAGTTTTAATAATATAATTACTAAATGTAAAAAATAACATGGCATACATTGGTATTGATCAAGAAAAAGTGCACCTCTGCATTACTTTGGCATAGACTTAGAAATAACACTAACGATCAGCAGTAGTATTTCAAACACGTGTTTTGAATGCTACATCTGCACAGCCAAAGAGGCCAGCGTCGACTGTGCATCTGCGTCTCGGCACCAGTGCTCGCTGCTGGGTAGCACTGCGTGTCTTTTATATGGGCGCGCGTGTGTTATAGCAGAATACCATCTCCGCATCGTCGAGTTCGAGTTCAGCTTTCTCACACAAGACGCATGTTCCTTTTAGGAGCGAACCTTTGCGGACACCCCATCCCCTTCGCCGCCTGGAGGCGCCGTACTTTTGTTTCCTTCTGTTTTTATACTTCTCTGCAGAGAATGCGTACGCCACACGTGTGGCCCTCATTGAACCGCCCCCGAACAGAGCCTCCTGCCTTTCATAAACATTCTAGTTTTTTGGGGTTTTTTTTTTCTTTTCCTTTTTTACACAAACAGCAAGCAAAATAGGCAGCAAGCATCCAGCCGGGAATTATTATAAAATGGAGGAATTTTCAGGGGAGCCTCAGACAGTCTACACCGGTTCCAGCAACAATCTGAAGGAAAGTGAAAGACAGAAACAAACAGCTGAATCGCACAAACAAATTATGGATATTGTGATGAATAAAAATATAAAACACATTCATTACAAATTGTCTTGAAATCTTAAATACTTAATTAACAATTTTACATATTACTACCTTCAAATATGTGTACTTAAACATCACAATGACATGATAGTTAAGAGAAAACGGAACTTACCTTCCAACCTGGAAAACATTTGCAATTTCATTTCGCGTTGTTTGATAACAGACAATTTTTGATACATGAGAAGAAAACGTTTTATTTAATAAAGACAAAAACAAAAAAATACTAACAGCCTACGTAGTACAATGGAGGGACAATGCACGTTAACACGTCCAATACTGTTATCTCACCTTTTGGCCAGCAGGTGGAGTAATGGGTCTTACTGGAAGTTCACTCCCTCCAAGGAGAATTGAGAAAGAACCTCCTGCAGTCTGTGGTGTTCCTCCTCCACATTCTGAAAAATAAATAAATATATATAAATATATATAAATATATATATATATGTGTGTATATATATATATATATATAAAAATATATATATATACATATATATGTATATATATGTATATATAAATATATATGTATATATATATATATATATAGTGACCAAAATACAAACAGTATAAATTGTACAATTCTAAATTGATTTTTGTTTCCCTCATGTTGTACTGCTTGGCTCAGCACTACTACTATTACTTTTTATTCTGTCAGTTTCAGTCAGCGGTCAGCTCACCTGTAACCTCTTGAGTTGTTGCTCTAGACTTCGGAGCCGCCTGTGTACTTCCTCCATCCTCTCCGGTGACAACACCATGGGCGCGCTGATGCTCCTTTCATCCTCTGATTTGGCCTCTTTTTCACTAATGTCGTCACTCTCTTCTTCTCCCCCTCTCTCCGTGCTCTGGCTTTTGTCTGTGAGCACGCAGGTTATATGCTACTGTGAGGCTTAAAGTTCCTTTTGAGACAGACAGACAGACACACACACTGTTGTGATTTCTACCTGTTGAGAGACACACTGTTGTGATTTCTACCTGTTGAGTGACAGCTGTCCAGTTCGGACTGCTCCTCTCCATTTTCTTCGTCACCCTGCGAGTCCTCTGAAAGACTGATGCTGCCGACCAGGAGTCTTTTCAGCGACATCACTAACAGGAGACACATAATAAGAAGGTTTTGTTTTTTTTTCCTCAAAGCTGCAGTGAAGTTATGACTGAGTTATGCAGTTAAAAATAAACACTTCTGTTTACCTTCTTCTAAAGCAACGCCAGCAATTTTCTCCTGATCGCTGTTGGAGTGACCTAGGAGGTCAAAGCCCTTCTCAGACAGGAAATCGATGAGCCTGTGTCTGAGGTCAGAAGACTTGTCATCTGTCAGGCTATCCTTGTCTTGATCTGTGGGCAGACACAAGACTTTGACTGTGCGTTAGGCCGAAGTAACTGCATTATCACACCAACGTTTGTTTTCTCTAGTGCTTGGCTCTCACCACTGCTTCTTTTCAAGCTTCCATTTTCACCCAGGCTCACTATTGGTCTTGGCCTGTCCCACAAAAACCAGAAAAACGAATCAATTTTTGGTCTTTGCGATAGCCACTAAAATATGGACACACAAACTAGGAGAAAATATAAATAACCATACGGGTAAATGTGCGGCACTTCAGGCAGTACGGGCTTCACGGGTACACTTTTCTTTAGATCATCCACTGCTGTCTTTATTACATCAGTCCAACTGTGTACACAAACACACAAACAAAAGTTGAAATAAATGAAAACATAACACACAAACACACATACAAAAGTTGAAATAAATGAAAACATAAACAAACTCCTGTCATAGCCAATCACATTTCTTTTTTTCCCCTCTTTTAGTATTTTCATAACTTTGTTTGTTTTTCTTCCCACACACGTTATCGTCTGTTTCAACCCCTTAGCTTTGTGTTCTAGCAGTGGTTCTTCACCTTCTTTCTGGCTTGTGACCCCATTTTGATGTCACATATTTCCGGTGACCACAGACACATTTTATTTTTCTAGAATCACAATGATGTTAAACATAATTTAAAAAGAAGAATAATTACATAAAGATTTTTTTTTATGAACTGCTAGACATTTCAGGCAATCCCATTCGACCCCAAGGTTGAAAAAAACGCTGTTATAGAGTTTCTTAGGTGCTGCTGACAATTGTGAATTTTGTGTTTTGTGAAAATTGTGTTTGCTGCATGTTAATATCTAAACACATTATGTTTTTTTTTTAATGGCTGAAGTATGTTGAACATGGATAAATCCCCATTGTCAATTCCAAATCTGATTTTATTTGAACTGTGTCACTAGATTCGAGTAGTTCTCAAATAGTGGGGCGGGCCCACTTGGGGGTGCGGGGATTGTATGAGTTGCTGCCACCTAGCCTCCGGCCACTAGGTGGCAGCAACTCATACAGTGGTTTGTACAAAAATATACATGTTATCAGGTCAATGGTATTTCAATTCGTGGGGAGGGGGTATGAAAACATTTCTGTCCACAAGGGGGGGGCATGACAGAAAGTAATCGGGAACCACGGCACTAGATCAACAAAAACAAAGAAAATCCAAACAACCTAATGTTAATGACTTACATTTTTCTCTCTCCCACAGACTGAGCCACCAGCTCATAGATCTGCGCTCCACTCTCCCAGGTGAAGATCACATAGAAGGCCTTTCGATCTGACAGAGCAGGACGAAAAAACACACGAGAGAAAATAAAGACACTCGTCTGAAAACTCAAGAGATTTGTACAGTGAATCATTGACTGCTGTGTTTCTGTGCCACTGACCTGTGGCCACCTCCCGGAGAAAGACAGAGTCCAGCTTTATAATAGGGCTCAGCATCTGTTTGCCCTCCTGCACGGCAATCGTACTCTTGCTCTGACATTTGAGGACCATCTTGTCATCTTGTTTTTGTAGGAGCACCAGCAGGTCACACAGTAGCACACAGTGCACCTCTGAGGGAAGGTGAGAATGGGGAAGGGGAGGCGGAAAGGAAGGGAGGGTGGGGGGTTGAAAAAAGAGGACAAATGCAGTGAAAACTATAGAAATAAAGACGATTTTCAAACACTTCTAATACGCATGGCTTGATTTTGAATTAATTTGTACTTTTTGCTTATCTGCATAATTCAACACACAAGATCAATATCTTAATATCAATCAACTGAAATATATGATAAGGGAGGAAGGACAGGAAGGGGAAAGTTTTTACTTCCTTAACAAAATGCTCACCTAAATATATGTGCTGTATATCAACAATGTGATCTTCCACTCCTATCTACTTAAGGGAAGCTCAAAATGAACCAGAACTTCATTTTTAATTTACAAATTATGAACTAGTTCTTCATATATATATGAAATATCTACGCAGAGGTAGAAAACAGAAGCACGTAATTACCAATTCCTTTTTCTTTTGTGACTCTCCAGATTAGAGGTCCTTCATAAAGCATCTTTTTCTGAGTAAGGTCAATGTTCTGTAGGAACAAAATAACAAAACATGATGAAAAATGTTGTCCAGAGAGAAAAAGGTGAACAAAGGTGAACGACGTACTGCGGCCTTTACCTTATACTCTGTGTAAAGTTCATTGCTTGGTTTAAGCCCTGATGTGTCCAGCCGACGCTGGTAGTCCTTCAAGGTCTAGACACAGACAAAGATTGGAAGAATGGTAAAGAATGACAAATACAATTGCAGCAAAATGTACATTTAAAATTTGTTATTACTTTGGTAAGGAGTTATGTAAAGGTTACCATACCAACAATAATTAAGAGCAGTAGAGCGTTCCATCTCTATTTCGCGGTTCTCTTTTCGCCCCCTCAGTACATCGCAGATTTTTATTTTTAATCCGTTCCGCGGAGGTTTCGCTATATCACGGCATTTTACGGTACTTTTTAAAAAAATTTCCAATATGTTCATTATTTTCGAGATAAAAAAACATTTTCTAACCTAAACTGTAAAAAATAAAGCAAAAAATAAACTAAAAGACATCGCGGATACCTTTGTTTACCTAGAGGAGAGCTAACGCAGCATTGTGTTCCTCTCGCTGATTGGCTCATGCATCGTAGCGTCTCTCAGCGTCTCCCCTTATCTGTCCGCCACTACAGGACGTTGCTGTAAAGTTTGTGCTCTTGTGTTTGGTGAAAGTTGACCCAAATTTAACGCCCCACGGTGCCTCCTAAACGCTCTGATAATCTTCTCAGTCGTCTGTTACTAAGCCCACACGAAGACGCTGACAGATGACAGTTAACTTCCGCTGAGCGCTAACCTCCGCCGCGTCGTGTTTAGTTTATTTCCGTAATATGTACGTCATATATTTCAATTCTCCAACTGTACTGTGCATGTAATTGTTTGGGAAAGGGTAATACAGTCTATGGAGGGTTGATAACAGCGTGGGGGAGATTCGTAAAGGGTAAATATATACGTAAATAATATAAAAAGTACCCCGCCTCTACTTCGCGGGTTTTCCCTTTTCGCGGTGAGTCTTGGAACGCAACTACCGCGATAGGAGAGGGAACACTGTATTCACGAACACAACAACACAATCTGTTACTAAGTGGATGAAAGTATAACTTAACTATGAATGGCTAATGTCCACATTAGTTACTGTCATAAATCAATATTAAGAATTATTTTCCTTAATTTTTATCCTTCATGCAAAGTTAAAGCTTGTCTTCCTGAAGAAGAACTTTGAAGTGGTTAAAAAAACTTTGTTATTCTGCCATTGAACAGCCATTTTGACTTCCTCTACTCTTCTTCCTCTTTTAGAGATGTTTTTTTTTCTCAGTGATATTGAAGTATGAGTATGAAATTTGCATTTCAGTTTTAAGCCTTTTCATATCAAGTATTGTTCAGCACGTTGTTGCTACTGTGTTGTTTATGAATTCAGAAGATTTTCAAAAGACTATAAAAAAAGTCATGGGCTGCTGATTTGTTATTTTCAGGCCCTGTTCGACCAATCAAATTGTAAAACGACTGGAAAGACGATCCACAGGTCTGGTGGATTAGTGGGTAAAAAAAAAAAAAGGGGGGCGTTATCTAAACAACCACTGACTGACCTTCGGGAATCAGAACGAATTTACCGGAGTTCGCTCTGCCCTCCATTCCTAGCTGACCGTGAACTGAGTGATGAATTGTGTGTTTCTCACCAGAAAATTCTCCATCACTTTGACCTCTTCGTTGACATGGTTGAGGATCTTTCTGCAGCACTCTGCGCTCTGCTTGATTCTCTCCTTTTCTACGGTGTTCTCTGAGAGAAAGCAGAAAACAATGAGCCTCGGTTTCTAGTGCAAACGCGAGTCATAAATCAACAGTCAGAAGGATATCGATTACATCTGTCGACCAAAGCTGTTGAATATCGGGCCTCTGTGAGTTCGTTTGTGATGCACATTTATCCCACGTTTTGTCTGATGATTCGCTTGAGGGAACTTTTGACCTTTAGAAAATGATCATGGTTTCATGAGTGATTCTAACAGTACAGTACACACCTGTGTTCTTAGCTATATTCTCCAGCAGTAGAGGGTACTTGGTGAGTCTCTGCATCTCTATTGGAATGATGTCCTTGAGTTGCAGCCTACGGCACTGAGGCTTGCTTTCTGACTCCTAGAGGAAGAACACACATCACGCAGTGAGAATGACAACAGGCGTTGTAAAGCAGTGTTGTGCGATCACGTGTTTTTGGGGACGCCGTCAACGTTACCGTTTCACTCTGGTAAAAACATTTTAAGGCCGTATTTAGAAGAATTATATGGGCACGCAGAGTGACTGCGGTACAAAAATACTGAGCGCATGTAGTGTACTTGTTAGGGATGCACTGATGCATCGGATGAACATTAGTGACGGGCTGATGTTCGCCTCCTTAACTGTAGCCATGTCACAACTATAGATTATTGTCAGAGAATTTATCACGATATTGCGTTTATCACGATTATCATGAAAGGAGACAGCAGAGGTGGCTTGGGCATTTAAATTGCATGCCACCCAGACGCCTTCCTCGGGAGATGCTCCGGGACCCGGAGGAAGACTCAAGACTTTAACTGACACAACATTTGAGAAAGCCTAGACAGTGCGAATGCAAAGGGAATAAATAACGAAAAAAAAAGCTGCATCGGTCAAGTTGTTATTTTAAACATCAATATTGTGCCAGAATTTCATAATAGGTGGATCCCATTAGGTTACCTGTATAAATGAGTTGAAACGTGGATCCTTTTTCTGCCTGATCTTGATCTGCTCCAGAGCCCATGACTGGTGACTGCAGAAACGTGCCGTCAACTTCTGGAACCACTCTCCCTCAGTACCATCAAACTGTTAAAAGAGATCACGATGAATCGCAGTCAGTGCAAGACTTTTGTTGTGAACTTGTTTCCTCAGCACTGATCTCTGAGGGTCTTCGCAAAAAAATTATATATGACGTGTAAAGACCGGACGATACGAGCAGAAATGTTCGCGTTATTTACCCTGTTCTGCACTGTAGTGCTGATGGACTTGATAATGAAGTTGTCCTCCAAACGACGTTTCTTCAGGTTCTCGTGGAAATTATCTGGAAACACAGCAACAGGGGTACACAAGTATAACGATCCGTTTTGACCTACAACTAACTAACGGCAACGGAAAACCCGGGGAGTGACACAAACAACTGGAATGACTCACAGTGCATATCAATGATCTCATCCAAATTGGGGAAGATGGTGGCAACCTCCGTAGCGGTCAGCAGCGCCACTCTCTCCATGGGCTTAGAGAAGACCGTCTGAAGAACGCTGAGCATTCGTACATGGGCATGCTCTGTTGCAAACAACTCTGAAAAAGGACAGAGGGAGAGAGGTTGAGATAAGTATACGATAGGATGATGATAATAATAATAATAATAATAATAAAATTCCAAACTATTCAGGCCTATCTGAATTAATGTTATCTTGTATTAAAATACCAAACTATTCAGGTCTATCTGAATTAATGTTATCTTGTATTATTTTTACATTATTGTGACAATTGCAATTGTAATATTATACTTCTACTAGGAACTGTTGACGAAAATTATTTTAGCATTAATTATAATTTTGCTCATGTGTTCACAGCACAATGACTCTTGGACTGGATACTGTTTGTAACTGTGGATCTACTTGTAGCTTTGTTTCACAACACAGGCTGTCAAACAATTTTTCACTGGGTTGACTACGACCTCTATCAAAGTAGTGACCATGGCCAACTTTATCTAGTGCAGCGGTTCCTAAAGCAGGGGGCGCAGAGCTACTGTAGCGGCCAAGTACGTTTCTCATTCATTTCACCCACATTGACATCCCTTCGAGGCACGCATCTAAAAGCTGGAACATTCCACACTCATTTATTCCTTTTCTCCTCACCATTGATGACTTCCTGTCTCTTGATCTCCTTCTTGCTCAGGGTAGCCAGAGCTTCAGGGGAGGCCAGCTCCCTCCAGTTGGCTGGGTCCTGCTCAAACTCCAGAAGGCGTGGGTCCACCTCTTCCAGTTGTGGGGACGGGCTGGTCGGGGAGTGGGCAGGCCCTTCGACAACTAGGAGTGGTCCTTCCACACTGAAGATGAAAGGCAAATAGATTTAATTCAAAAAGCTTAATTTGTTTAGGGAACCTTTATAGAGAATAATATTTAGCTATGTTTTGATTTGTAGACGTCATTTTTTTTTTGCAGTTAATACAAAGGTATCTGTATGTGTAGCTCCATCCTGTAATTGGCTGCATTATCTTTATAATATTCATTGTTAAAGGTGTTTGAATTATCAGATAAAATCAAATATGTTCGCGAGAACATCAATTAAGTCAACTTGTCGATGATGTTTTATTAATGACTCAAGATATGTTTTTGATGTCGATGATTAAGATTTGATAAAACTCCATGTAGCTCATGTGTTCGTGTCTACGTTTATATTGGTACATATGGCATTATCTCTGAGTTTTAGTCTAGTAAATAATTAATGTATTTTCCGGACTATAAGTCGCTCCAGAGTATAGGTCGCACCAGCCAGAAAATGCATAAAGAAGAAAAAAAACCATATGTGTCACTGCGAAGTATAAGTCGAATCAGTGCCCTTTAGTGGCAGTGTGAAAATAAGGAATGTGTACATTTTCAGTGGTACAGGAGTAGCAGATACTGCTACACAAGCCTAGGGTGCCCTCTAGCGGCTGTCAGTGGGAAATAACAAACATGTCAAATTATTTATTTTAATATACTGTATACGTCGCAAACCCAGCCAAAGAATGAAAAAAGGTGCAACTTATAGTCCGGGAAACATTGTTATCAGATTCCTGTGATTATCCAGGTACAAAAACCTAGCTGTGTAATCATTGCGGTGTCTGAAAGTGAGCTATTACTTTCTAAAAAAGAAATAAATAAATAAATCCAAATAATGTTTAAAAGTTAAATCACATTAGTCAGCAAATTAGTCTTCTGTGAGAGCTCATGAAGCGTACCATGGAAATGATCAAACTATTAGTTTTTATGTGCAAATAATTTGACTTTGTTTGTCTATGCAACAGCGAAAGGCAGAACAGCTAAACAATTATCAACTAGGTGGGAGCATATGTCTATGAAATATACATATATATATATTTATATTATATATACTTATATATATATATATATATATTGTGAAATGTTTTTGGTGGTGTGCCATAGGTTTTTTTAAATGTAAAATATATAGGTTAGGAAAAACTGCACTAGTACACTACATACTGTCTCAGTGCTAACATTTTGCTAATGTGCTAACAACATGCTAAAACACCCCTGCTGTTTGCATATGCACCGATAAAACAATGCAAAAGTGCTGAATATTTGGATCAATGAACAGGACTTTTTTTCAAAAGTGAACTTAGCACCACCTACAGTACCGACCAGGGAAGGTGAGCTCCATGCTCAATGCTGACAAAGACAAAATAACCTAAATATAACTTTAGCTGGTTACCGTTCTCCATCAATAACGGTTTTCAATTGAGAGAAACTATTCAACTGCATGTTTACAAACGACCAAACATATTTCTGACTAATTTCCTATTAGGTGTCTCGTCTATGGTCGTACAATATGAGATGTCAATCAATTTTAAAACCCTTATTATTGTTCATTTTAGCCCTGTCATTTCAGACAGACTCTTGAATGGATGGCAGCTTTTTTTCAAATGGTTGGCTGTTACTATCTGTTCCTGCTGTGAACATCGCTTTTAAGAGAGATTTTATCCATCTTACGGATGGATGTGCTGTGGGGTGAGCGGGGAAGGTGTTGACGGCGTGGTACAAGGTGGCTGGAGGTCCACATCGCTACGGGAACGGCTCTGTTTAACACGGGAGGAGCCCCGGCGGCGAGAGGAGTGACGGTCCACACGAGCACTCTCGCTGCGACCCAATTTCCTACTGATGGGGGAGGGAAGGGGAGGACAGGGATGGATGGAGAAAATAATGAGCCAGAGAAGAAGGAAGGTGGAATTTTGAACGAGCAAAGAAGGAAGATATATAAAGGGATATAAAGAAGAAAACTACGGAAAGAAGAAAACGTCGCAGAAGATAGAAAAGTAAGTAACTCTACAAAGAATAATAATGAACTAAATAGTTGTTGCAAATGGTGGATAAAAACAGTAGATTCAAAGCCATATGCATTCAGTGAGATTAAATATTAAGTTGGTAACAGATTCACAACAAGGAAAAGTTGATCAAATGAGAGAAAAAAAAAATCACAGCTGAAGAAACATAATGAGTGACTGATAAATTAGCGTAAAATAAATCACACCTGAAGAAACATGATGAGTGACTGATAAATTAGCGTAAAATTGGTCTGAAATGATGTCATACTTCTTAAAGTGTATGTTTGGGAAATACTGTTCTAATTAAATGGCAGCTATAGTTTTTTTTAAAGCGTGGTCAAATGAGCCACTGATGAGAAATGATAAGTGTGTGCCTTCAGATAGAGCTATGCTGATCTAAAACAGGAGCACTGACTCCCAGACATACGGAGGAAATTTGGTGAAAGTTTTTTCAGAATATGTTCTGTACGTAAGTATATGTGGCTGGATGTATATGTGAATAAACTGTGTTTAATTTCTAACACGAAAGGGCAAATAAATAAAAATATATATAAATATATAAATATAAATAATAAAAAATATATTTATTTATATATAAATATATATATAAATATATAAATATATTTCCTCTTTTTGTTTCTCTCCCATCTCTGTGTGAAGACACTGCACTGAATTTGTATTAAATTCTACCACCTAATTCAGCACGTTTGGGTCACTGGTTAAACAAGACTAAAAATGAAAACTTAATTGTTAAATATTAAATATTAACAGCGGTGGACTGCACGTATCAGACATGTCCTTTAAAAACATAATGAAGTTTCATCTCAGCGCAGTCCAAAGCAAATGTTTGGTCGACTTTCTCAGAACAGCGCTGTTTGAGTGAAAACACATTCTGGAACAGGTTTCCGTCACTACAGTGTGGTCAGTGCCGCACTTGAAAAGTAAACTAAGAAAAGGTTTTCGGTAAAGTACTTACAGGGTTTCCTACTACGTTACAAAAAACATTGTATTTTCTCACAGATTCCGGCCATGAAATAATCCCAAGATTTTTCCCTGAACCGTTCAACGCAACGTGCTGTTCCATCCACCTGGAAAAAAAACCTACCGACCTTAACAATCAGCTTCATCACATCTACTGTATCTAATTCTCCGGCATGTCAACATACTTACAACGTACAACATACGGCCATGCAGAGTGTTTGTGTTGTATGGCGTGTGTGTTTTGTTGTGTGATAAGTGATTAGTATAAGGGCCTGAAGCATGTCCATGACTCTGGCGCTGAGACCCACCTTGTCTTCCGTCTGTAAAAACACGGGACATCACAGTGTTACACTCCCACTTTTACACAACTGCAGCACGCTAAAGAAAAATCCACAAATGCAAATTATGAACACACCCCGGAAATAATCAACCAAGCAACTGTCAGAACCACTGTCAGCGCATGATGCCACCTAAGTGTCAAATAGCCCTGGCACAACAGGTTACCGCGCACACACACACACACTGGTGGAGACAAGCAGGACAGAGGACAGGCCCTGACCATGACAGATGCACACATCTGCAAAAGCACATGGAACAAACAGCAACAAACCAATACGAACGCTTTTTCCACTGCGGACAAAAATATTCGCTAACAGGTCTGCAGTTTGCACAACTCAAAAGCATAGAAAGTGTCAATTTTAAAAATATATATTATTTATATTTCATTTAGGGTTGGTTTCATTTAATTTATTTTGTATGTGTATAAAGGGATTTTAAATTCAAATTCAAAAATTTTAAACAGTTGAAAGACCTGTCTCAAAAAACTCCAGCTCTTAAAGATTCAAGAATACATATTAGAATAGATTAAATATAGAATATATAGAATATAAAATATAATGAATTTATTAATTATAAATAATATAATTGTATATATAAAATATAAAATTAAATATAGAATAGAATACAAGATTCAAACTGTTCAGCTGAAGTCTGCTATGCAAAGGAAGCAAAAAATTATTTTTTTCCTGGTAAGTCAAAAAAAAAAAAATGGGAAAAAAATTTTTTTTTGAAAAAAAAAAAGGACAAATCTGACTTTAAAAGGTTGGTTGTCAGTGTGAAGAATCATTTTTCAGCTTCAATTCAAAATCAGCATTTCTTTCCAAACACTCCTCTCCTTAAAAAAAAAAAACCAAAAAAAAAAAAAAAATCCAAAACAACAATGACTTCTTTATGCAGCAACTAACAAGTAGCAATGTAGTGACACGAATGCATACACAAAAGTAAATTAGAGACAGAGAGCACATGCTGAGGAGAAAGAGGAAGAGGAAGAGGAGGAGGAGGAGGACGGGTTTGAGGTTGAGGGAAGGCAGAGAAGACTGGGTCTGATGTCACCTGGCGAGGGTCCTCCTCCGCAATGGCAGACTCTGTTAGCGAGGGAGCGACGGGCAGCATGACAAAAGCTTGCACACAGCAGGGACAGATGACTGAGGGGGGGTTCTGCCACACACCCTCAGCATGAGCACAATGAGCGTTCTCCCTCCTCTCCCCTGGTTGTTGTTTCTGTTTATAATCCGATGTTTAATCTCTAACCAGGTGTGAAAGTTCACACCATTTAATTATCTCGCTTTTTTAAATAAGACTCGTTGCTCGACACTATGTTTGTTGTCACCGCTTTCCCCTCTCCGAGCTTCTCACCTGTCAACAACTTCATCTGTGCTCAGGTCAATGGGAGATATGGGCTCCCCAATGGTCAGCACGCCCACCGGCGTCACAGGGGACACATCGCCCCCATCGCACAGGACAGGGGGCTCTAAACGTGTGCTCGAGACACCTGAGGGATTAGGAACAGGAAGGAGGACAAGTTAGGGCAGAGATTTCAAGAGTACGGTCTAGACCAGGCTAATACGTTAGTACCGTTATCCCTCACCTACGCTAACACAGTGGTGACATGATAATCTAGGACAGACGCGGGCAAACGTTTTGACTCGTGTCTTATAATTTGACAGGGGACCGGGGTCAGGAGCAGATAGATGGAGCGTTCGTATGATCTAAAACAAATGACATGTAAAGGTCAGTCAGTAAAGGCTAAAATGCTTTTAGCCCTTTACTGTGCCATCTATTGGGGAAATGCGGGCATTGCGGGGGAAAGGTAGATATATAAGAAAAATAGTAATTAATAAGATAATTTGGACAAGTTTGGCGGGCCAGATTAAAAAGACAAACGGGCCGCATCCAGCCCCCGTGCCATAGTTTCCCCCATGCTTGGTTTAGACTTAGTGGCAATGTGTAAAAGAAAGTGAAAGACATTGAAAATGAGTTGATCTTTCAATGTAAAGTAATAGAAATTGGCACATTATAGTAGCAGGTAATACTGAACAGTTTGTAGATGATGCTTAATAATCCAGGGTTAGTACATTTGTACATGTATGAGGACAGACAATGGTGACATTAATTCAAAATGTGAATTGAAATGAGTGATTTTACTAAATGCGGATCACAAATTGTAAATACAATGCTATCTACCAGACCTCAAATATATTGTGGTGTGGAAATTTGTGAGATCTGTAAACTCAAATATTGACACGGCACAAATCAATTTCATGCAGTGGAGCTCATCACGCCCGCCGGGGGGTCGGATACGTGAGAGGCTTCCAATGGAATATGGCACGCTGCACAGAAGTGGGCCGCCGCTGTAATGCTTGAATGATAAACAAGCCTCCAGTCACTAGGGGGCAGTAAATCATACAGTGGTTTGTACACATAAGAAAATAAATATGATTGGGTTTTCAAAAGTATTTCATTTAGGCAGGGATGTGAAAAAAATGTTGTCCCCCAGAGCAGTGGTTCTCAAACTGTGGAGCGCTCCCTAGTGGTACGCGGCGGAAATTCATATTTTTCACATTTACATTTTTAACTAAATGAATCTAAAAACATACAACTCGAAAGGTTGAGTGACTCAACAACGACATCACGCTAACGATGGTTATGTTTGGCGGAATATATAATATACCGTGAGATCAAAAAACTTGACTTACCATCATTATGCGACGCCTCGGGGATGTTGGTGGAGCTGACATTGTTGCCTGAGGTTTCGTTAACGTCGACCACAGGCACAGAGACGAAGCTACCGGTGGATCCCGATTTCTTGCTCGGTGCTGACGGAGCTGCGATGTCGGTCAGCGAAACTCTGCCAGGAGCTGGACCCTTACGATCCTGATTCTGTTTATCCTTTTCCACTGGAGAAAGTGAAAGGTTTTAAAGACTGGACCTGAGGACAGCACAGACGCTGCAAACAATAGCAATTCAGTCACTGTAAAGAAGAGAGATTGAGGCTACATCCACACTACTCTGGTTTTATTATCTGTCGTTTTTTTTGTCTGTCTACTACATTCACACATTAACACCAACTTACAGCTGTTATATTGTATACTTTAGACTTCACTGACTTCAATTAGAATCTTGTCTGCTGTGCGCTAGCTAAGTTGTTTGTCTGTACCAGGACTGTGAAAAGTTAGCTCTGGTTTTGGTGATAGTGTAGGCAAATTGCTGAGCTGATGGGGGAGAAAAAAAAAAAAAAAAAGCCAAAAAAAAAAAAAACCCCCCACCAAAAAAAAAAAC